AAAAGGCCCTCGATAAATTAACGGTCTTTTGCTACTGTCTGTAAGTACTATTTCTGTCATTAAGTCTCTATATATAGCTCGGCTCTTTCATTGCATGTATTTATAATTAATTATCCTCAATATATTATGTAGATTGAAGATCGTCGAGTGCAGAAAACAAGAAATGTATGATATTGGGTTCATTAACACAAATATCATAGATGATATTCAGGTTAAAAAGCACGCCATGCTACAATCGTTGATCAAAAATCAAAACAAAGATACCATACTCTTTCCTTACAACTTCAAGTGAGTGTTACTGTCGTGTGCATATTCGGTTTCCCTTATTACTCGAGCGAGGTTATAGTAATGTAATTGATGAGTTATGCATGCGTGCGCAGCTTCCACTATGTTCTTCTGGAGATTAAGCTTGAGCGGGGACTAGTAACCGTCTTAGACTCGAGACGAAAAGAACCCGAAACCTATGCGGACATGACTGAATTGCTCAACAAGTAAGTTCAATCGATCATTATCGTACCATATCGGCAACTTTTTGTTCATTGCCTGATATCTCAAGTAATAATAATTATTTTCTTTGTCTTGCAGGGTTTGGAAACAGTTCACCGCAGAAGCTCCGGGACTGCCGAAGGAGCTGCGATATACATACCCGAAAGTAAGTACTACTGGCTAGCTAGTTGCGCGCATCTCCCGTTGATTCTATAGCTATACTTTCATCAATGCCATTTATAATGCTTCATTATCAGTTTGATTGACCTCTATTTCTCGTAAAGTGCTTGTGGCAGGAACAAGGGAATGATTTCTGTGGATACTACGTGTGCGAGTTCATCTACAACGCGATTTTGAAAAATAAGCGGGGCTACTCTAAAAGACAATATGAAGTGAGTAAGCAATAATATTCATAATTTCATTTTATTATACCATCATTTCTGTTGAGTTTCATTCATATATATGTATTAATTAACCCCCTTCTTCAAATTAGACGTGGCAGATGCGGAATGAACTCCTAGAACAAGATCGCATGAAAGCAATTCAAGAGGAATTGGCGGGATTCTTTCTTGACCATGTCATCAATAAAGTCAGAGAATACCATGTGGAAGTTGATTTCAATTGCTAGGGGATTGTAATTAAGAGATCCTACATATTGTATATGTATGTAGCCAGTATTGTCGGATAGATAATACGAGAACTTGTTGTTCGACCAATCTCTCGGAGAAGGAGAGGTCGATCGATCACTTCTCTCGGTATGCATGACGAACTTCTGTACTTAATGGTTCCCTTCATTTTCTTACTAGCTAGCGTGTCGAGGGCCTCTCTATGTATAGTACGTAGCGTCGACCAAGCACGGACATAAGAGAGGACACTTCTCTCTATTAATTAGCTAGCTAACACAATATACGAAACACCTAAATTAACACCCCAAAACCCCCAACCCCCCCCCCCTTAAAAAAACAAAAAACCCAGCCACTGAAATGCTGACGCGTGGATGCCTTTTGGTCCCGGTTGGTGCCACCAACCGGGACCAAAGGCCCCCCTGCCTGGGCTCGGCGCATCGGCCACCTGGAGGACCATCTGTCCCGGTTCGTGTTAGAACCGGGACTAAAGGGGGGAGGTATTAGTAACGACCCATTAGTCCCGGTTCATGAACCGGGACTAAAGGCCCTTACGAACCGGGACAAATGCCCCCTTTTCTACTAGTGAGGTGAGGCGAAAGATGGTTCCGTGGAACGTAAGAAGGTTGCGGACAGCAACGTTGTCGAACTCCTTACCGTTGTCAGTTTGCAAGGCGAGAATAGGACGACCGAACTGTGTGGTGACATATGAATAAAAGACTGTGAGTGTGGCAAGATCGTCGGACTTGCGACGGAGAGGGAATGTCCACACATTATGAGAAAAATCATCCAATATCACCAAATAGTATAAGTAGCCCGTGTTGCTCGCAACCGGGGACGTCCAAACATCACTATGCAATAACTGAAACGGAAAGGTGGAAATGTTTGTAGACTCGCTAAAGGGAAGACGAACGTGCTTGCCAAGACGGCAAGCCTCACAAGTGTGATCGTCAACCTTATTACATGAGAAAGAAAAACTTTGAAGAATCTAACGCATAACAGTGGAGTTGGGATGACCGAGATGGGCATGCCAAAGATCGACACTAGCGGCAAAGGCGGCGGGACGACGGGTGGTGGTGGTGGCGCCGGAGGGATGCACCGGGTAAAGCTCGTCCGGGCTGTCACATCGGTGGAGTACCATCCGTGTACGGGCGTCCTTCACAGAAAAACCGATATCGTCAAATTCAACAGTGATAGGGTTCTCACGAGCAAGGCGACGAACAGAAACGAGATTAGTGACTAAGTCAGGAGACACAAGAACATTAGACATAGTGACGGGAGTAGAACTAGGGAAATGACATATGACTGACATGTGTAATGGGTAGGGAGGAACCGTTACCAACGGTGTTGCAAGTGGGAGTATGAACGGGAGTGGAAGACGTGAGGTTACCGGGATGAGCAGTCATGTGAGCGGTGGCGCCCGAGTCCATGTACCAGTCACCTCCGCCACCGTAGGTACTTGGTGACGAAGCCGAGTGCAGAGCAGCGAGGAGGGCCGGATCCCACGGCGGCGACACCTGGGGAGGGAGAAACCCTCCGTAGGCATGCGCGGGTGCGGGTGCGGCGCCGTAACTGCTGTAGGGGCGGCATTCTACGCGGTGAAGAGCGCCTGGTGGCTCGCCGGACGAGGCCCGAGGATGCCCGGAGCAGGAGCCCGCGGGACCGCCATCAAGTACGCGTGTACGGCGGCCGTCCACGGGTTGGTGCCGTAAGTCCAGGGCGGGGTGGCCTGCTGCTGCTGTTGCTGCTGCTGACGAGGAGCCCCCCTTGCGCCTGTTTGCGACCGCCCCCACGGCGGTTGCCGCGGCGCCCGCCACCCTTCTGCGGCTGCTAGGGGCAGCGGGGGCGTGGGCAGGAAGGGGTAGAACCCCAGAGGCGCGGGGGGTGCCAGCTGGTGGCGGGGCGCAGGCGCGGGCGGGGGCGGCCGGTGGTGGGGCGCCACGCGAGGTGTCGGCGGCGAGGGCGTGGTGCTGCACGTGCTTCTTGACCCCCTTCATCCGGCGCTCCTCCAACCGCAAGTCTGCCACAAACTTGGGAAAGGAGGGCTTAGTGATGAGGGAGAGGTTGGAGGCGGCGTTACGGAAGTCCTCGTTGAGGCCGGCGGTGAGCATGCTGAGGAGGAGGTCGTCATCAACCTTGGCGCCAATGTCACGGAGCTCGTCCGCCAACGTCTTCAGGCGGCGGCAGTAGTCATCGATAGACTGATCATCTTGATGACAGTCAAAAAATTCCTGCTGCAAAAAAATGCGGCGCTGAAGCTTGTTGTCTGTGAAGAGGCCGTTGAGCTTGACCCACACGGCGCGGGCGTCATCACCATCGCTCACGACCGTGTGAAACAGGTCCTTCGAGATGGTGGTGAAAAACCACCGGATGAGCGTGGCGTCGATCGCGGTCCACTCGGAGTCGCCCACCATGGCGCGGGAGTCGACAGAGCCGTCAACATGATCCACGAAATTGTTCTCGCGGAAGAGCAGCGAGAAGTACGTCTTCCACGCGAAGTACGTGGCGTCGGTGGCATCGAGGACGACTGGGATGCGGTCGTGGATGTTGATGTCGTGGATGTCAGCGGGGTCCGGCCCGGTGAAGGGGTTGTAGGAGGAGGAGCCGAATAAAGTCAAGGCGGCGCGGCGGTGTGACGCGGCGCAAGCGATGCGGGAGTCGGGTGGCGGCAGCTTAGATCGCAGGCGATCGTAGGCGGCAGCGTGCGCGCGAAGCAACAGAGGTGTAGCAGGCAGCGATCGCGCGACAGCGAGCAGAGGCAGCGATCACGCGTCAACAACGCGCGTAGGCAGCAGCAGCTTAGCGGGCTAGCGGGGCGCGGATGCACTGGCAGCAATTTGCGGCAGCAGGCGTAGGCAGCCGCACGCGTAGGCAGCAGCGGAGCGGGCTAGCGGCGCGTGTATGGAGCAGCGAGCACGCGGGGCTGGGAGGAGAGTGCGGCGCAGGGAGGAGGAGCGCGGCGTAGGGGAGCAGCGGCGACGTGGGGCGGCGGCGGCGGCTGGAGATCGCAGCGGCGGCGGCGGCCCGAGGTGGCGGCAGCTAGGGTTAGGCGGAAGCGGTAGGGGATCGATTTGTGATAGATACCATGTGAAGAATGATTTGGTGCATCGATAGTTGATTGATCGTGCACTAGGCACATATATATAGGTACAAGGGGTGCGACCGGTATCTTGTCTCCTAAGATACACATACATATAGAGGGAGACAGACAGTACAGGTACTGCATACGAAACCCAGACCTATGTATATGTACACATGTTCAACATACATGCATGCTTCCATCTTGATTCCTTTTCTCCCGATCCAAGCCAAAGCCATGGAGACTAATTCTTGTCAACCCATGAATTGTATCAGCATGCGTACATGTTATATTAACTAGCCCATACTTGCCTTCGTAACTCAGCCGTAAATCTGTTCCAGCATATACATTGTTAACAGTAACTAATGGATCAACGATGGCTTGATACTGACCAGCAGCTTCTACATTATCATTGTCAGTACGAACATTATTAAAGTTGGTCATATCAGTTCTAAACTTTGTTTCTGAACTCAAATCATAACTCAGAGGTTGAAAGCGTTTCAGGATGAGCAGAGTGGAAGTGGAGTAACAACAAGACATATTGGTGGTTGCATTTACATTGTCGTCACGAAATTACAACGGATTGTGAACCAGTTGTGAGGGTTCGATCCGCAGAACGCAAGCAAAGCGAGAAAGCCAGATGAGAGGAAATTCTCATGTGCTGCCTTGCCTGGTCACGATACACCGGGACAGTTACTTTGTCCGACCAGAAAGGAGGCTGATTTGTCGAAGGGTTTTATTGATGGATCATTTTCAGTACAGCTACAGAAATTTGTTCCCTTTCAGGCTTTCACCTCCCCTCCCCCAAACTGTTACATGACGAAGTTGGTGAGGACTTTCTGCACTAGGTGCTCCCCATACACCACCTTCTCATACTTGGCAACGCCGCCCGTTTTCTCCCGGCAGAACTCTACAGGTTCCACCGCAGCGTCGAAGTTCGACTGCATATACGTGCAATTTGTTTCAGAAAAAAAAGGAAAAATTAAGTATAAGCAACTCAGTCGAAGCTCGGCCGCATATACCTCGTAGAAGAAGGCGACAGATACACGGTAGCGAGGGGAGTTATTGACGACTCTGTGGAGCGTGGGCTGGTATATCCCATTCGACCAAACCTGAAAGCAAATAAGATGATTTATAATTAATAAGGTTGCTAAAAGAAAAGAATTAATGCCAAAATAGATAAAATGTTAGTGTAGTTGCAACTAAAGAAACCTTCAGCATGTCGCCGATGTTGCAAACGAAGGTTCCAGGGACCGGCTTGGCGTATATCCACTCACCGGACTGGTTTCTGACCTGATACCCAATTGCCAAAGAGTTTCAGCAGATCAATTCCTTTGCTTCATTACAGGGGAAGCAGAGGGCATAAATGGCTAATACAAGATATGTGTGCTAGTGAAGGAACATGTACCTCAAGAGCACATATATCATCATCCTGATTCACCAATGTCAGAAGACCTGCAGTTTAACAGAATGAGGAAAAAAATATTTGCAAGATTTTTCTATAATTTTCCTAAGAACACTATACATGGTTTTCCTAAGAAGCAAGCAGATTATACTGGTATTGTTTTTTTTTAAACACAAGACACTGATGTAAAACCAAGAGAGGTGTACTCACCATAATCTGTATGAGCTCCACTGGAATAGAGAAGAAAAACAGAGTGAGATGTATCTACATGCCACAAGATAACTTCCTTTTTAGGGTGTATTTGTGCTTACCATCCAATATCAGTGCGTTCCTCTTGTGGGATGTCATCTGAGACTGGATAGCCAATTAACCTGAGAACCCAGAAAGCATCTCCCGCCACTCCGCCTTCGAAAGAATCCAACGGCGCACCCAGTGCCAAGGCTATGCCTCTCATGATCTTCCTTGAAAGATCTGAAATGAAAAATAGCATGATAAACACTGCTACATAGATTGACAAGCATAAAAGGATAACTAATTCAGATAAGTGGACCTCGTAGAAGGCTTATATAGTTTTCCAGCAGCGCATCAAAATTTGATGGATAATCTGGCCTGCATGGAAGATAAACTATTCAGCTCTTTAAAGCGTATTAAGTAGTAGAGGAGCATTCTTTACATTGTGAACGTATTGACATCAATAAATATCAACAGGTGTATAATAATGTTACAGGATTTCCTGATGCACAAAAGAAAGCAGGCAGTGAGCCGTTTTCTCAAAAATGCGATAACGGCTCTCTAAGATATACCTTCAGAACAAAGAACAGAGAAAAGATACCTAAAGACAGAGAAGGAAAGTTCAAAACACACCACAAATTAGATCCTTCCATTGGTTTAGCAAGATCTCCATATCTGCCTGGTTCGATAGGCGTGTAGCACTGCAATTTTTTGTTTCTAATGGTTTAGCTAAAAAAAACAGTACAATTTAAACAAGCATGCCAAGAAATTCAGGGACAGAGGTGAACTCACATCAATTGCTTCATGCATATCAGGTTTACCCTTGGTAACATTTTCTCCCACTCTCTGATATCCTCTGAAAATAAGCCATAAGAAAGTTCATTTCTGTATGTAGAAGACTTCCAAGGACCAACACAATGAGCTATAAATAAAGGAAACGAGAGAAGGTCAAATTTTGTATGCAGTCACACCTATATCCACTCTGAGGTGTCATTTTGATCTTCAGTTTTTCCTCGCGAGGGAGCTGAAAGAACTTGCGTGTGACATCCCTGACTTCCGTCATTAGCGACTCCGAAATCCCATGGCCTTTCTGTTAATAATGCACAGACATCATTTTCAGCATGGTTAATTAGCACTCAACGGATGAGTTATTGAGTTGAGCAGCATCCAGAACCAGTTTTGTTCATAAAACAGAAGGGGAGAGACCAGCTGCACAAAAAAACTGAACATGACACACACATTTTATTGATGACAGTACACCATTTTATCTGCCAATTAATGATAGTATCTATAACCATTTTCAGTTGAACTACCACACAACTACAGAGTATAAGCAATCACTTTCCAGTTCATATAGTCTGCTTAGAGGTCCAAATGAATTTCCATCACAAAGCTGAACGTGCGATTACCACATAGAAGAACCCGGCCTCCCTGCAAGCGTCGTCCAGCATCCAGACGACGTCGAGGAGACCCTCGTCGCCGGCCATGGCAGGGTCGTCGATCTTCTCGACGAGCGGGCTGATATCTGATCATGCAAAGAGGAGAACGCAACCTTTCATCATCTGATTTAGAGTGAGAGATTTCTGTTTCTCCGCTTCAGACAGGATGCAGAGTTCTGAATGACCCATGATCACTCGGCTGCTACTACGGCCGGGACTGCGTGCCCGCAGGATTCATTCTGAATTCCGACCCATGCCAGAATTTCCCTTTCTGAAGGGATGGGGAATCGAGCCCGGATTCTCAGAATCCGAATCTTGCATGGAGCAACAACTTTCCGCAAATAAAAGAATTTATTAACAGAGGGCGTACCGATCAGAGGGATGGCCTTGAAGTCGGAGCCCATGGTGTTCGGCGAGAGAGACGGAGGCGCCGGACCGGAGAGGGGGATTTGGGGTTCGGGATAAGGGAGCGATATCGATGGCAGGTGAGATGAGGTGAGGTGAGTGGCGTGACGGCAGGATCAGCAATCATGCATCCATGGCGTTCGGTATTGCGATGCGGTGCAGAGCACCTTTTCCTGTTTGGTTTTTTTTTTTTTTGAGCTGTTTGGTTTTGGTTTTGGTGTGTCGTGTAGGGGGCTTGGGCTGTTCGCCGCTGTAATGAGAGACGCGATCGTCCTACGCACCTGCCGCCTCGATGGCGACGCGAAGGCAGAAGAAGGTGGGCGTTTTAGGGAGTTGTGACGGCGGCGATGGAATCACCTGAGCTGAGCGGCGAAAATCGTCCCCGTTCGTGCTCGCAAACGTCAGTTTTCCTCCCTAGTTTTAGAAACCGTTGTGAATATTTTTTGAAATCACAAGCATTTTACAAATGCACGACCATTTTTGGAATTCGTCAGCATTTTAGTGGAGCTCTTGATTGTTTTTGAATCGACGAATATTTTTAGGAATTCGGAAACAATTTTTGAATTCATGATTGTTTTACTAACATATTTTGAAATGCATGGTGTTTTTTCGAATTAGTGAACATTTTTTTGAATCAATGATCTTTTAAAGGAAACTGGGAACATTTTTTGAATTTTGTGAATATTTTAAAAACAATTCATGAACAATTTTTCAATTCCCAAACATTGTTTCAAATTCATGAACTTATTTTGAATGCACGAGCATTTCTTTTCCAAAACCATGACCAATTTTTTTTATTCCCAAACATTTTTAAAACTGTGAATATTTATTATCAAAATCACGAACATTTTTTTTCTATCTGCAAGCATTTTATGATTTCCTGAACATTTTATGATTTTCTTGAACTTTTTTAAAGCATCGCAATTATTTTTAAATCCTTAATTATTTTAAACAAGAAAAAAAATGTAAAACAGAAAACAAAAGAAAAAATGAAATGAAAAAAAACAGGGGGCTTCCCGTCCCGCAAATGGGCCGGCCCAAAAGGGCATGCACAAGAGGGGATGTGCATCGGTAGAATATCTGGTGCACCAGTGCTTGTCTCAAAAACAATCTGGTGCACTGGTGCACCGAACACACGCTACGTATTTTAAATGATTAAAGAAATTTTAAAAAAGTTAGCACATTCACACAATGTCAATGTGAGTAGTCGCACAATTTCAAGTCAAAACTCGAAATATAGCTCAGGAAACAAAAAAACCTCAATAAATGTTTGAAATTTTGATAGAATTTTTTGTGACAACATACATTAATGTTG